TAACTGCAGTGAACTTGCATGGTGATTTTCTTTAACCTTTCTCATCAGAAGTCGCTCCTGTCAAGGTGTTAACTTCCATGGATGGTCTGGCTGTCACTGTGAGATGGTTGCAGTTCCATCTTTGTTAAATTTTTGTATCACTTTTGCTACAGTATTCTGACTGATAAGTAAAGCTTTGCTGATCTTCTTTATAGCCTTCACCTTTCTTGTGTAAAGAAATTTTCTTTCTCAGGTCTTGTGACATTTCCCTTCCATGTGGTGCCATTGCTGACAGCATGAATTGGGAAGGTGTTTTCTTTGTTAAGTAACACCCTTTTATAATCTGTCTGCTGGACACCTGTTCAATTAATAATTATATTAACCTGTAGTTGAATTCTTGGTAATTAGGATTTTGTTTTCTAAAATTTTGCTTTGCTTCTAAGACCTTCATTGGGGTGTATTCATTTTTTCCACATGGTCTTTAATGAATTTGTTAGGAAAAAATACTTTTTTTTGTGTGTGCACATTAACAGATCTTGTTTGCAATCAATTGCCTGTATTTGTGTGAGTATTTTGTAGTATAGTGTCCCATAGAAAATGTTAATTCGGAAAGGAAAGGTTTTCTGACAAATCTGTTGGGGTGTACTCATTTTATGCTGAATCTGTATATACAATATATTGCCAAAAGTATTGGTCACCGGCCTTTCCACACACATGACCTTTAATGGCCCCCCAGTCTTAGTCCGTAGGGTTCATTATTGAGTTGGCCCCGCTCTTTGCAGCTATAACAGCTTCAACTCTTCTGGGAAGGCCGTCTACAAGGTTTAGGAGGGTGTCTATGGGAAGGTTAGACCATTCTTCCAGAAGCACATTTGTGAGGTCAGGCACTGATGTCGGGGGAGGAGGCCTGGCTCACAGTCGCCACTCGAATTCATCCCAAACGTGTTCTATGGGGTTGAGGTCAGGACTCTGTGCAGGCCAGTCAAGTTCCTCCACCACAAACTCGCTCATCCATGTCTTTATGGACCTTGCTTTGTGCACTGGTGTGCAGTCATGTTGGAACAGGAAGGGGCCATCCCCAAACTGTTCCCACAGACACATCCATAGGATTGTCAGACAGAGAAGCGTGATTTGTCACCACTGGTCTAGAGTCCAGTTACATAGTTAGTCTGGCTGAAAAAAGACAAAAGTCCATCCAGTTAAACCATTAAAAAAAAAAAAAAAAGTTATAATTCTATACCCACAGTTGCTCCAGTGGTGGCGTGCTTTCTTACACCACGACATCCGATGCTTTGTATTGCACTTGGTGATGTAAGGTTTAGATGCAGCTGCTCTATGGAAACCCATTCCATGAAGCTCTCCATACAGTGTTGTGCTAATGTGAAGGCCACACGAAGTTTGGAGGTCTTTAGCTATTGACTCTGCAGACATTTGGTGACTTCTGTGCACTGTGCGCTTCAGCATGTGCTGACTCCGCTCTGTCATGTGACATGGCCTACCACTTGGTGGCTGAGTTGCTGGTGTTCCCAGTTGCTTCCACTTTGTTATAATCCCACTAACAGTTGAGCGTGGAATATTTAGTAGCCAGGAAATGTCACGGATGGACTTATTGCACAGGTGACAACCTATCACGGGACCACGCTTGGAGTCACTGAGCTCCTGAGAGTGACCCACAAATGTTTGTAGAAGCGGTCTGCATTCCTAGGTGATGATTTTATACATCTGTGGCTATGGAGGTGATTGGAACACCTGAATCACATGATTTGGAGGCTGGCCCAATACTTTTGACAGTATAGTGTATATATATCCATACACTTACTCCAATATTTTTAAATGAATGCTAAGGGAGAGGTTAAAAGATGATACTACCAGGTCTGTAAACCTAAGGGCAGCACAGTGGCTAAATGGTTAGCACTTTCGCCTGGCGGTACTAGGGTCGTTGGTTCGAATCCCAGCCGCGGCACCACCTGCCTGGAGTTTGCATGTTCTCCCTGTGCCTGCGTGGGTTTCCTCCGAGTACTCCGGTTTCCTCCCACACTCCAAAGACATGCTGGTAGGTGAAATTGGCTCCTGTCTAAATTGTCCCTAGTATGTGTATGTATGAATGTGAGTTAGGGACCTTAGATTGTACACCCCTTGAGGGTTAGGGACTGATGTGAATGTACAATATATATGTAAAGTGCTGCGTAAATTGACGACGCTATATAAGTACCTGAAAAATAAATAAGGGCTTGTTTACACTTTTGGTTGGGGGGAAGAAAAACTCTGCATTCGAACAGCATTTTTACTTACTCCTCAACTGCTCCCTCTTTAGTTGGGAAGGCAGCGGCCATAGCAGGACTTTATACTACTTGTCCTAGAGGTCCTTCCTCATGCCGCACAACACCCATTCAAGTGAATAGGGAAATGCGCATGCTTGCAGTTGCAGTAGTCTGGCACTTAGAAGTAATCATAGATAGTAACCTCAGCTACGGTAAATATGACATGAAATAGATGCAGTTGTTTTGAATCTGAAACAGACACTTATTTGCTGGGGTAATGTTCCCCCTTCCCACCAGCCTCCAAAAATCACTCAGCATTTTGGCTTGGTAAACTGAACAGATTGCATGTGCTGCAAATGTCTCGTGTACTGCAATTTCCTAAACACCATGTAATCTCCTTGATGTAATCCCCCGAGGATTTCGAGTGGGTGTGTTTAGGATCATTATCCATTTGTAGAAGGCATCCTCTCTTTAAACTTCAGCTTTTTCACAGATGGCATCAAGTTACCATCCAAAATTTGCTGAAATTTTATTGAATCCATTTTTCCTTCTACTCGTGAGATGTTCCCTGTGCCACTGGCTGCAACACAACCCCAAAGCATGATTGATCGAACCCCATGCTTAACAGTTGGATCAGAGGTTCTTTTCATTAAATTCTGTGCCCCTTCTTCTCCAAACGTACCTTTGCTCATTTCCGGCCATAAAAAGTTCAATTTTAAACCTCATCGGTCCACAGAACTTGTTTCCAAAATGCATCAGGCTTGTCTATATGTTAATTTGCAAAGTTCAAAACGATGATTTTTGTGGTGAGCGGTGAGGACGTAGAAGAGGTTTTCTTCTGATGACTCTTCCATGAAGACCATATTTGTACAAGTATCTCTTTATAGTGGAATAGTGTACCACAACTCCAGTGTCTGGCAGATCTTTCTGGAGGGATCGTGCAGTCAAACATGGGTTTTGAATAGTTTTTTTCTCACAATCCTGCGAGCTGTTCTGTCTGATATTTTTCTTGGTCTTCCAGATCTTGCTTTAACACTTCCACTGTTCCTGATGACTGCCATTTCTTAATTACATTCCGAACAGAGGATATTGACATCTGAAAACGCTTTGCTATCTTCTTATAGCCTTCTCCAGCTTTGTGAGCGTCAACTATTTTCAGTTTCAGTTTTCTAGACAACTGCTTAGAAGAAGCCATGGTGCTGATTGTTGGGGCAAGGTCAGATGAGTCTGAGCATTTAAAACCTTTGAGCTTGACATCACCTGGTCTTCCCAGACTATGATTGAGAACAATCCATGACACTGGCAGGTCTCAGCTTGGCAAAAGGGGCAGTGCATGCTATAAATTCTGCAGGGTGCCCAAACTTTTGCAGACGCCATTTTTTTTGTTTTCTGTTATTTTGAAAGTGTAAATGATGGAAATAAAAATGTAACTTTTTGTTGACATATTATAAGAATGTCTAATCTGTAATTTGATGCTTTTTGGAAATTTTTCCATCTTTCCTTGGCTTCTTTATGCACATTAATACAAATTTTTAGCTGGGGTGCCCAAATTTTTCGATCCCCACTGTAGGTGTGATGGTCAGGTCTCCACAAACTTTTGAACATACAGTCAGGTCCGTAAATATTGGGACATGGACACAATTCTACATTTTTGGCTCTATACACCACCACAATGGATTTGAAATGAAACAAACAAGATGTGCTTTAACTGCAGACTGTCAGCTTGAATTTGAGGGTATTTACATCCAAATCAGGAGAACGGTGTAGGAATTACATACAGTTTGCATATGTGCCTCCCACTTGTTAAGGGACCAAAAGTAATGGGACAGAATAATAATCATGAAATCAAACTTTCAACTTTTTAATACTTGGTTGCAAATCAAGCAACACCACAGACATCACACCAGACGCTGGGTTTCATCCCTGGTGATGCTTCTGCCAGGCCTCTACTGCAACTGTCTTCAGTTCCTGCTTGTTCTTGGGGCATTTTCCCTTCAGTTTTGTCTTCAGCAAGTGAAATGCATGCTCAGTCGGATTCAGGTCAGGTGATGGACTTGGCCATTGCATAACATTCCACTTCTTTCCCTTAAAAAAAAAACTCTTTGGTTGCTTTTGCAGTCTGCTTTGGGTCATTGTCCATCTGCACTGTGAAGCGGCGTCCAATGAGTTGTGAAGCATTTGGCTGTTTATGGCATTGCGGAGAGAGTTAGCATCTCGCCACTCCATTAACATGGCACCTAGATGCAGCACCTCCCTCCCTCATTCATGCTTCTTACAGCACCTACCCCGTTGTTCACTATCGCACCTCATCGCCATCAGGTAGCAGCAGGAAGACTTCATGGGCACTTTTAAAACCATACTTTGCCCTCCTCCCCAACTAATCAGGACATTGTACATATTCCTTCGCATGGAAGAGGTGCACAAGTAGGATATGTGTGGACCTTAACGGAAAGCTTACAGGGCTTTCATGGCCACATCAAAGCTCTCGCATCGGTAGTACTACACATCTCTCAGCCTGAACTGAAACAAACTACATGGGCTCATCACATCTAGTTTCAATCACCATGGTCTCGCATAGATGATTTAGAAGACCGTCAGATGGAAAAAAGATCCACCTGAAGGGTCTACCAGTGGCAATAGAACAGGATGATCTACTATCATCTGTTCAGGGTGATTTTTAAAAACTCCTGTGGAACACAGTGACTGCAACAAAAGAAATTGACAGAGTGCACTGTACCTCAGAATATTGCAATCCAAACTTCACTCAACTGAGGGATGTTTTTTGCGCAGTGTGTACTTTTTCACAAAAAAAGAGGAGATGCTTAACATAAAGCCAGAGAGAGAGTGGCATCTTGGGCTTTGAATGGAGCAGTTATCAATTTGTACCATGACCTTTCCAGAAAGACCCTTGGCTAATAATGCTGGGCTCTTCATTAGTTCACATGGGCTCTGAGGTCAATTCAGTTGCAAGAAAAAGTATGTGAACCCTTGGGATTAACGTGGAGTTTTGCATGAATTGGGCATTAAAATGTGCTCTGAACGTCATCAAAGTCCACACCAATAGAAGAACACAAGTCTGCTGAACATAATACTACACAAACATTAGAGATGTTGCCATGGTTTTTAATTGCACATAACATGTTAAACATTCACAGTTGTGGCAGGGAGGAAAAAGTATGTGAACCTTTGGAACTTAATAACTGGTTGACCCTCCTTTTGGCAGCAATAACCTCAACCAAACGTTTCCTGTAGTTTGCAGATCAGAACTGCACAATGATCTGGTGTAATTTTGGGACCACTCCTCTTCACAAAACTGTTTCATTGTAGCAATATCTCCTTGGGATGTCTGGTGTGAATCGCTCTCTTAAGGTCATGCCCACAGCATTTCAACCGGGTTTGAGGTCAGGACACTCTGACTTGGCCACTCCAGAAGGTTGTATTCTGTGCTGTTGCAGCCATTGTTTTGTTGAACTTACTTGTATGCTTTGGGTCATTGTGATCCTGTTTGCATCACCCATCCTCTTGCAGAGCTCTTCAGTTGGCGGACAGATGGTACCGTACGTTTTCCTGCAAAAATGTCTTTATAAACTCTGTAATTAATTTTTCCATCAATGACAACAATCCGTCCAGGCCCTGAGGCAGCAAAGCAGCCCCAAACCATGATGCTCCCACCGCCATGTTTCACCAGTGGGGATGAGGTTTTGATGTTGGTGTGCTGTGCCTTTTTTTCTCCACACATAGTGCTTGTGTGTTCTTCCCAAACAACTCAATCTTGGTTTTCATCTGTCCACAGTATATTTTGCCAGTAGTGCTGTGGAACATCCAGGTGCTCTTTTGCAAATTTCAAATGTGCTGCAATCTTCTTTTTGGACAGCAAATGGCTTCCTCCGTGGTGTCCTCCCATGTACTCCATTCTTGTTTCATGTTTTCCTTATTGTAGATGTGTCAACAAAAATGTTAGCATGTGCCAGAGATTTCTGTAGGTCTTTAGCTGACACTCTGGGATTCTTCTTTACATCATGCAGCATTCTGCGCTGTGCTCTTGCAGTCACTTTTACAGGACGACCACGCCTAGGGAGAGTAGCAACAGTGCTAAACTTTCTCCATTTGTAGACAGTCTGTCTTACTGTGGACACATGAAACCTCAAGGCTTTTTGGAGATACTTTTGTAACCCTTTCCAGCTTCATGCAAGTCAACAATTCTTGATCGTAGGTCTTCTGAGAGCTCTTTTCTGTGAGGCATGGTTGACATCAGACAGTGCTTCTTGAAACCAGTAAACCCAAAACAGGTGTGTGTTTTTTAAGGGCAGGACAGCTGTCAGCAACACATCCAATATCATCACACTGATTGGAATCAAGGTTGGCTCACTCCTGGCTCCAATTAGCTCTGGGAGAAGTAATTAAGCTAGGGCTTCACATACTTTTTCCTCCCTGCACTGTGAATGTT